GTGGGGGAACTTGCACAATCGGTGGCTGACTAAATACTTTTTTGCCCCACTGTAATTTGTTTAGGTAGAAGTGTGTGCCTGTGTGTCAGTATTTGAGATGTGGAAGGGTACATTGTGATAATTGATTATGTGAATTTCACTCCTTTAAAGCTGTTCTGAGTCAATCTGAGTATGTCACGCCTCATTACAGGTATCGCTGGGCCTTCATCCCAGAGGCGTCAGACGATTCGGGGTTGGAAGTGAGACGTCAGGGGATTCACCAGAGAGAGTTTAAGCCCTACATTGTCCGACTAGTGAAGCTGCTGAGGAAACGAGCCAAGGTATCTCATCTTCTCTTGTCTGCACAGGTTATTAAATAATGAAGATAAATGAGTGCCTTTTACAAAGAGGAAAGTGCTTGTTAAAAGAGGCTGTTTTGCAAATTGTAGTTTTTGCGGGTTGGCAGGTGAATATTCAGCTTCAGTAAATTATTTGCCTCCTCCTCATAGAAAAACCCAGAGGAGGACTGCTCCACCCAAACCCTGTCCTGGGAGCCAGGTCACCTAATGCTGACCCTCTACGTGATCCGCAGTATGGAGCAGCTGCTGCCCTTCTTCAACTTGCTCAGCCAGGTGTTCAGCAGCAAGGCCAGCAGCCGCTCAGGCCCCGCCTACGCTCACAACCGCACAGATGCCTCTTTCCCCAGCCACAAGGAGGGCCACAAACTGGAGAGCCAGAAAGTGTTCTGGAGTCGAGCTCGACAAAACATTGAGGAGATGGTTGAAAAAGACTTTCTAGAGGGGCTCATCAAGACGTGAGGTCAAAGCAAGCGGAGGGAGAGGGAACTAACACACAACTGATCAACACTAGTGAACCTCAACCTGTACATTAAAAAAACTATATGGGACTATAAACTTGGGGAGGAGTTTGTACATTCTTTTTTTTTTATAATGAATTTTCTTTTAAAAGCTACTTTATTGATTTTAATTATTTGTATATATGGAGCAGCTTTGATGACTTTCAACATTTCATGTGAGTCCTTTAGGATAAAGTGAAAATGCTGTGCCATTCCATATCGATGTGACTTAATAAAGATTTCTAATGAGAAGTTTACATCAGCTATGTTGTTCTCTTTCTAAATATTAAGAAAGAACTTACACTACGCCCCTGCCATTCAGTCTAAGTCTCTTCAGTCTCTTCTCCATTCTCATCTGAGCAGGTGTAGACTGTGTATAAAAGATAGACAGCCACTACCGCATTGCCCGTTGGTTTCCACATTAGCTTTGTCGTCATCGGAATCTTGTTTTTCTGGAGCGAGCCATGACTACAGTTACTCAAAAAGGGTCGAGTACTAAGTTATCAGCTGATGCTAGAGAACATAGAAAAATGTGTGAGCGCAATACACAGACACACCTACCTGCTGTTTAGTGCAGTAACGGGGTAATAAAATACTAGAAAATGCCTAAAACCAAAACTGAAGCAAAGACTTCTCTACTGCACAGAAAGCCATTCTTGTCAGATAATTCCATTTAAGATGCAAAGCAGCGACACCACAAAGGCAGTCAAGAGGTCAGTTTGTCTCTGAGATGACCGTATCAGTATGGACTTTAGATGGTACCCTTTTAAGTTCCTGTTGGTCAACTCCACCTACATTGAGTAGACACTCAGCAGGAGAGGAGCAAAACATAAACATTGTCTGCAAGGGAGTCCTAACAACAGTAGCCTGAGCAGCTACGTACAGTGGCTTGCAAAAGTACTCGGCCCCCTTGAACTTTTCCACATTTTGTCACATTACAGCCACAAACATGAATCAATTTTATTGGAATTCCACGTGAAAGACCAATACAAAGTGGTGTACACGTGAGAAGTGGAACGAAAATCATACATGATTCCAAACATTTTTTACAAATAAATAACTGAAAAGTGGGGTGTGCGTAATTATTCAGCCCCCTGAGTCACTACTTTGTAGAACCACCAATTACAGCTGCCAGTCTTTTAGGGTATGTCTCTACCAGCTTTGCACATCTGCAGACTGAAATCCTTGCCCATCATTTTTTCTCCAGAGTAGTCTGATTTGATAACTGAGAGATGAGCGCTGTCAGATGGGAGAGAGGTCACAGCTGTTATTATACCCTATTAAAAATAAATATATTTAAAATACATTTCTAAGTGCCATGAACAAGTATTGTATTTTATATGTAGGTCTTTCCAATGTACATTAACACATTTTAATGTACATTTTTATGAAAAACGACTGATAGAACTGCATACAGCTGATCAGAAAATGTGATTGAGAGCACGACGCCAGAAGACTTCAGCACCACGGACAGGGCCGAATCCGCTGATTGGCTGCGCGTGGTTATATAAAATCGTGCTCCCTGAAGCTGCGCGCTTCTTATGACCTTCGTAGTACGGAAGCAGCATGACAGGCACTAAAACCCTGTAGAGTAGCTGTATTAACCCTTCACATCCTCACGCAGCAACCCCATTCGCCCACCTCCCCACCTCTCTCGCTTCTCCCTTGAGCTCTCGCGATAAAAGAGGCTGCAGTGGGGTTGGTAACACTGCGTCACCTGACTCAAAGGAGGGGGCAGGGCGTGTTGAGAAATATAAATAAAATAATAATTAAATAAACGGAAGGATGTAAGTCCACCGAAAGCACCGCCATCCAACGACCCGGTTTGAAGCGCGCATCCCCGGAGCTGACGGTGAGGAAGGCGCAGAGGAAGCGTAGGGCTGCAGAAGGAGAAGGAGAGAGTGAGAAAAACAAACAAACAGAGAAAAAAAACGCTGCACTGGATGGTGTGGGATGAAGATGATGATGATGTTCCACTGCACGCCCCGCTGATACTCAGGGACTGTCAGACTGGTGGTGGTGGTAAGGATTATCCAGGAGACAAGCGGAAGGAAGACAGGGAGGAGGGGAGGCAAGAGACAAGCATCATCCAGGGAGGACGGCATTGTGAGGGAGGCTGTCCGACCATAACGCGGAACAGTAAGAAATTCATTAAAAAACGGAGGGGAAAACACTGAATTAAAACCTGGATTAGCGTTTTACTTTTTTGCCCTCTCCTTTTTCCCCCTTCCCCCCCTTTTTTTGCATATAGACTGTAGTTATCACCGGATACTGGAATTCAGGGAAGAAAGTCAGTTCATGATTGTTCCAGAAACGCATGCAGATCCAGCAGATCTGAGTGGATATACCAGCTCTCCGCTTGTTATGCAACTCAAATCAATTGCGGCTCTTTAGAAAGTGCCCTAATATTTCTTTTCCTGGAGCCTGTGTCTGTGTGGTGTTCTCGAGGGCGGCTGGGATTACTGAGGCTGCTCGCTCATTCCGGCGTGCGCGTGTGTGTGTGTGTGTGAGTAGGGGGGGGTAGGACCATATTGGAGGCTTGCTGGTTGTACTCCGCGGAGAGAAGATGTCGGGGCAGACGCTGACGGACCGCATCGCCGCGGCTCAGTACAGCCTGACGGGATCCGAGGTGTGCCGAGCGGTGTGCAAAGCCACCACGCACGAACAGACAGCCCCGAAGAAGAAACACTTGGAGTGTGAGTACATCTACGTCTAAGTAACCCCTCCATCTATCCTTGTCATGCACAACTAGGCCTTGCACCAAAGCCATGATGGTTGCCCCCCACCCCCACATCCGTTACTCCAGCGTGTCTTAATATGCTTGGATGGGTTTCAAGTCATAGTATATACTCACGTGTATGAACACACACACACACACACACACACACACACACACACACACGTACTACCGAAAGACCACCAACAGGAACTGCTTTCAGTCTTAACTGACCAAGCCAAAGTTAATATATAATTACATGGCCTCTCACCCGCTGACTGTGCATTAGTGTAGAGCCAGAATAGGGAAACCACAAAGTCTCCAACCAGATACTTACAGATAAAAGTCCCTCTGATTGCATGCTATCTCTCCCTCCAATGCTGCTCTTATGCTAGTTACTGCATAATTAAAAGGCTAAAAGTAGTTTCAGTACTACTAAGCACACAGGTGGGGTTGTTGCCTGAGACCTTGTCCTCTATGGTAGCACTGAAAAAACTGCCAACATATTTATCACAGATTTCTTTTTTCGTTTCTTGGTGCAGTTTCTAGATGTCTTTCATTGCACGAACAGGGTTGTCAAATGAAGGAGTAGGCGGTGCCAATTCAATTTTTAAAAAAGGCTATTAGCTTTTTGGAAAGGATGGAATGGGGCTGTATTTACTGATAACACACAATTTCAGGGACTGTCAATATCCCCAGTGGTCATCCATACATAAAGTAGATTGAACTCTCCAATGACTCATGTGCAGAATAGATAATAGTGAACACAGCAAAGGTGGAGGTTTCAGTTAGAGTGGGGTTTTTTCAGGATGCAAATGAATGACACAAGGCCTTTAAGTATTTTTGCCAATAAATATGCAAAAAACAGACCAAGCTTGTGCATTTGATCTGAACACATACATGTGAATAACACAGCCTTTTGCTTTTTCTGCACAATGATATAATACAGCTTGTATTAAGATATTCAACACACAAAATCAATTTGTCTATAATATAAACACCATCCATGCATCACATCTGGGAAACATAAAGACTTGGCATAAATAGAAATACATGGAATGTCCTCAGTCCTCTTCCTACACCAATGAAATCCGTGATCCCTGACTGGATTTTTATCCAAGGAACCTTTTGCCCCCAAAATGAACGATTTAGTGCATTTATTTGGTTTTGGAATAATTGGAAACATTAGGAAGTTATTGAAACAAGCTGGTGAGAGGTCAGTGAGTGCAAGTCACTGAATTGTTGAGGTTATAGGCATCTATATAGACAGAAACTAATGGAGGAAGAGTTACGGCCGGGATTGCCGATGTGTTTGAGGTGTGGACCCAAAAACAGACATGTGAGAGAAAAACGAAGTATAACAAAAAGCAAGCCGTTTATTAAGGGTGATATCAAACAGAAAACAAGGCAAGGTGAGCTGGGGAAAAACTAAACTAAAATCTAAACTGGGATGAACTAAAACTAACATGAAAACTATGCCATGGTACCTGAACATGAATCAGAACAGGTACATCTGAAAACTGTGACAAGAAACATGAACCTGAACCGAAGCATGAAAATGAACCTGATGCCACAGGGGAAGCAAAACTAAACACACTGAACATGGAAACACAGACTTTCAAAGTAAAACAGGAAACATGGAGAGACGTGAACTGGGACACACTGATACAAGAGACAGAGAGTCGGAGTGAGAGAGGGACAAAGAGGAGAGAGACGCAAGGGGAACCTACCTAGACAAGGAGATAACATATGACAAACAGAAAAAGACTCATAAACAAGGAGACATGGACGATAACATAAACTACACTAAACTTCAACTACGATGAACTAATACAAAATAACCCAAAATACTCTGTCACAGACCCAGCCCCCTGACAGGGAAATTATTGTTTGTGTAATTTTAAACAGACAGAATCACCAGGGTTGGAAATATAACGGTGAAATCATTGTCTATCAGTGTCCAGGCATACATGCCCATGCCATGATGCTTCCTCCGCCGTGTTTGACAGATAGTGTTGCTTTGGATCATGAGGTGTTTCTCTCTTTCGCAATACTTCTCCCATCATTCAGCTGCAAGTTCATCTTGGTTTCACCATCCACTTTTTTTGTCTTCTTCTTCTTCTTCATTTTTTTTGTTGCAGATTTTCCTTTAGATGTTTTCTGGCAAAGTCTAATCTGCTCTTCCTGTTCTTGAGTGTAACCAGAGGTTTGCACCTTGTTGTAATCTCTGCATATATCTGTTTATGAAGGTGTCTCTTTATTATAGACTATGTGACAGTGATACCTCTTCCTGTGTGAGGATGTTCTTGACTGGGTTAGATGTTGTGAAAATGTTTTTTTTAAATAATGGAAATAATTTGCCACTTCAGTTGTCTTCTGTGGTCTTTCAGGTCTTTTGGTGTTGCTGAGCTGCCAGGTCCTTGTTTTTAAGAATAATTCAGATTGTTGATTCGGCTGCGTCCATAAAGTTTTTCCTAGTTTCTCTTTCTAATAGGTTTATTTTGATTTTTCAGCCTTATTATGTCTTGTGCTTTTGGCATCATATTGAAATACAGTGATAAGCTATGAAATACAAATTCAACACTTTAAACCAACTTCAGACGTCTGCTTCACTGGGAACAGGCCTCACCTCAACTACTCGTCACTCAATTGTCCAATTAATTTTCAGTCTTTATTAAAAGTCTGCAAAGCCTACACTTCAGTCACATATTGATTGTTTGAATCTACCATGTTGGTGTATAGGCAAAAAAAATACAAAAATGTGTCTTTTTCCAACAGCTTGTGGACCTAACTGCACACATAAAAACCTGTCTGTAGCCATTCACAGAAGTAAAACACCTAGCTTGCTCCTACACTAAGCTAACAGCCTTGTTAGGTTATTTTATCTTATGTTAAAGCTAAACATTTCATTTTAAACATGCTTCCCCCACGATATTAAAAATAAATAAAAACTATATATTAAAATGAATTTGGCAGTGACAGGCAGAACATGCATGGAGGTAAAACTCCTTGTTTCAACTCTTACAAATAAGTTGCATTAGCATAGCTTACTGTAACTTTAAGCTAGTACCATTTAGCTTTTAAAATCTCTGCTACAAGTGCCAACATGCTAAAGAAAAAAAAAAAAGAAGACCTGAAAATCTTTTAGCTGAACTTATTTTAATTTAACATTTTAAATTCATGGAGCTCTTGAGTTCATACTGTTTTTTTCAATGAAACTGCTTCATTGTATGTGACAAAGGTAATTTGTTCTGCAGGAGAAGCAGCCTTAGGTTAAATTGTTTGACATTACATCCTGTTTTACCCATAGCTGACATTTACCCAGTGTGCTGCTTGGAGAAAAAATGTCTACTTTTACCGCTAGCAGAAAGATGCATCATAATCATCAGTGAAACTTGTTGCCAAGATCCTCCAACACCGCTGTAGTTAGGGATGGGTATTGATAAGATTTTAACGATTCCGATTCCATTTTCGATTCTGTTTAACGATTCGATTCCTTATCGATTCTCTTATCGATTCTTTTTAAAAAAAAAGAAGAACACTAAAGTCAATTAGCTTAGAACTGTGTTTTATATCTTCTCTTTGAACAAGATAGAAATTTAGGAGTAACATGGCCTTACAAACCCAACAGTGAGATCTTAAGAGATCCACAGCCTATGGCTCTTCAATAAGGTGTCACAGGGTCCCCAGGAAAAAAATGTATATGTAAAATAATAAAATAAATATTCTCCTGTAGCAATAACAAAGTTTAACATAAATTATTCTGTAGCAATTACACAAGAATATCCAGTAATGTCCCTGCCTACAATTAAACACATTCACTTACCAAAGTGAAATCGGGGGCATCTGCTGTGGCAAATGGGTGCAAGCCTTTGACCACAAACTTAGACACTGCTGGGTGACATTCGTCTATCCTGGCCTGAAAGGAGACGCTACCGGTAGACTGCAGCGACAACTGCCAGCATCTGAGCCAGCCAGACTCTGTCTCTCTCATCATGGTTATCTAAATGCAACGCACAGTAATAGCAGGTTTTGTAATAAGGTAAATCACGCTAACATAATATGCAATGCTAATTGATTAGTTACCTGCAGTATTAACGGGAGAGGACGTGGAAACGCTACCGCTGCTGCTGGGTTGAGCTTCGCTAGTCCGGAGCGGATCAAAAACACGACATTCGTTGAAAGCAATCGCGTGTTTTTTGAGCAAATGCTTTTGCATATTCGTAGTGTTTCCTCTCTTTGATGAAATCTCTACTTTGCAAGTATTGCACGTTGCCCTGTTGTCATCCTTTCTCATAAAGTGTAACCAAACTTTTGAGCGTTTGTGCCGCTCAGGCGCCGTGTTTCCTACTGGGTAAAAGACGCTACTCAACGTGATGACATCATTCGGGGCGACTGGAATCGATAAGGGAATCGTTTTTAAAAGTGGCAAACGATTCCAAGGAATTGAAACAGTGGGAACCGGTTCTCAACAAGAACCGGTTTTCGATACCCATCCCTAGCTGTAGTCCTGTTTTATATCGACATGCTTGGCATCCATTAATACCCCTGGAAATACACTCTGTCATCCACACAATCACATGGATTTATGTATGTGTATTTGGCTCTAGGATACTCTATTACTGAAGCAATTTACATATTTTAATAACATAAAGATACTGCAATGATATAACTGATTGCCTTCTTGCATATGAAATCCTTGTTGTATTTCATTTTGGGAGCTTTTTGGCTTGTAATGTGATGCGCTGCTTCTCACTCTGCCTGAAACCTGACAGCAGCACATTTTTTGTCCCTCTCCAAGTGAATAGATAATGTTTGTAGTTGGTCAGTCTGTTGTCAGTGCAAAATGATACACTAAACATGTACTAACTTCACTCTGCAAGTCATTTAAAAAGGGAGGGGAGAAAACATGCTGAATTGTAAAAGGGCACTTTGTGTTAGGAGCTGTGTGCTCAAGGTCTAAAAATATCTCTCATGGAT